TTTCGCGCAAAGCTACACGAGAGCTATCTGAGCTAGCCGTCCCTAATTTAGCAGTGTAAGACTAGGGGGAAGGCTGCTAGTCATCATCACCCACTGCCAACTCTTGGGCTACTCTTTTACCAACGAATAGTGGGATTGACCGTCACATTATAACGCCCCGCGGCTGAAAGGGCGAGCTTGTTTTGAGTGACGGGGATTCGAACCCGCGACCCGCAGATTGCGAGTCGAGTACCCTAACCACCTGGCCATACCGGGCACCCCTTATAAGTAAGGACGTAAGAAAAGTATTTAATTAGCTATAATCATTCCCGGGTTGATTCTTCGTTTCGTTATAAGTAAATAGCTTTCTCTGATCAGAAGCTAATATTAATCATTTAAGTATTTCACAAATTTTAATTCTAAAATGATGTTTAACAACTTCTATAAGTTATTATGATACGATTAAAATGCAGTGACTCTTGAGATTTAACACATACCTTAAAAAATTTCAAACAAGTTTCAACTTGGTAGATTTTTTGTTACTGTTCCAAAGCCGTAGTGGTGAATTAATTTAAAAGAAGAATACTAGGCAGAAACGTTATAAACATATATTACACTCTTTCTTGATCGTATTTTCCAAGTTCAGATTTACCGAATTGCTACCTTCTTTCCTTTATCCTAAAATACTTGTAACAGTCACGTAGCAAATTAAAGAATTTAGCACTTATTAAACCATACTCTTTTCTGTCTTTATAAATTTCGAGATAAGTCATTAAAAATATTTTTCTGTATTGCTTATTATTAAGTTATAGTTTATCTATAAATACAACAGAATGGCTTAAACTATAGGGCTCCATCATATGGTAATTGTGAAGTTCTTAGTGTTGTTGCTTAAGAATCTTGGTTATTCTCTTGGTTATCCTAACATAAGGCTAACTTACCTGTTATTATCCTATTCTGAATTTAACATAAGGCTAACTTACCTGCTATTATCCTATTCTGAACTTAACATAAGGCTAACTTCCCTGTTATTATCCTCTTCTGAACTTAACATAAGGCTAACTTCCCTGTTATTATCCTCTTCTGAACTTAACATAAGACTAACTTCCCTGTTATTATCCTCTTCTGAACTTAAGGCTAACTTCCCTGTTATTATCCTATTCTGAACTTAACATAAGGCTAACTTCCCTGTTATTATCCTCTTCTGAACTTAACATAAGGCTAACTTCCCTATTATTATCCTCTTCTGAACTTAACATAAGGGTAATTTCCTTGTTATTATCCGTTCCAACTTTTATATAAGACAAATTTCAACTGTCCAGCTTCTATGACCTCAGAATTTCAACCTCCTAGCTAGTACAATCTATTTCGTGTTCTGGGCTTGCATAACCTATTAGAATTTTTAAATTTTATGGCCCCAAAATAATTCTAGTTCTTATCACCTCTTTTTAGTGCCTACGATCCTAGTTTTACAATTAGCATATCTATCCAAATTTCTAGTTTCTATTATTTACTTAATCTTCCCGGTCTGTTAACCCATTCCATCTTTCACATTTGTATGATATATTGCAAAATCTCCAATTTTATGGAAGTAGTCCATTCCAAATTTCCAGACTGTGTTACTTGTATATTCTACAACTTTGTGCGACTTGTTTCAATGTTTGATTTTGTTTACAGTATTCCAACTTTCAGCTGTGTATAATCTAGATATATTTTTTCTCAATATGCATTAACTATTCCAACTTTCCAGTTTTATGAAGTGTTGCAAATTTTCTCGCTTCGACCTTTTTCAAAGTTTTATGACATATTCAACTTTTTTGGTTGCGTGAGTATCAAAATATTCCTCTCTTATGATTTTAACGACAAACTTCTATTCTCTCGCTTATAAGCCCCGCCAGTGGCACAGCGGAATGTCTGCGGACTTATACTCCTAGAAACCGGGTTTCGATACCCGTGGTGGGCAGAGCACAGATAGCCCTTCGTGTAGCTTTGTCTTTAATAACAAACAACAATCTGGATAAGTTTAATACGTAATAACCCGCTTGTAAGGCTTTTTGTTTCCAAACTTTAAAGCCATGACTCATCCCAGCTTTCAAGTTGAGAAAATATACTTCTTAAAGCGACCTCTGCAATGAATGTATTAATAAGATTTTTTTTTCTCTAGTTACAGCATTATATTATATAATAATTTCCGATCAGAGTGACCTATGAATTAAAAGCGAAACTTAAAAACCAACGCAACCATCAGTATGACTAATTAAATATAATTTTCTTACGTTTCTACTTATAAAGATTATAATGTATTGTTTCCTCAGTTAGGTAGCCTCGCTGTTAACAATGTTTCATCATGTGGATACCTTCGCTGTTAACAATGTTTCCTCAGTTGGGCAGCCTCACTGTTAACGATATTTTCGGCCTTAATGTAATCGTAGCTGATACCAATTCTCTAATTTTCAACCAATATTGATCCTAATTGATCAGTTACTGCAATCTAAAATTTCCATAAGTTGTGTGAACGGGGATTAGTTCTAAAGACGAGGAAATAAATCCCAGTTCTTTCATATATTACATATATAGGTATGAGCTGGTTGCCGATGAGAGGAAGAGAAAGCTTCTTAAAAAAAGCAAGATTATATTTTATTTACAAAACATCTTTATTACATTATTCCGTTTGAGATATAAAATAGAACACGTTGCGTTGATTAAAAAATAAAAGTAGTCACAGCTCGGTAGAAATGACTGTGAGTGTGACTAACAAATCATTGCCAGGAATGCTAGAGTTAATGCTGCAAATCAAAGGTACGCCGAGCGTGTGCTGTGCTACGATATAAAAAGAGATAAAACCATATAACTAACTAATAAATCAAGACGAAAGAACGCGATCCACGGTGTCTGTAAAGGGTTATTAGTCACACTGTAATTTTCATGGCAAGGGCTATATGCACTGAGGATTATAATCGAACAAACGTCCCACTAGTTTTATAAACGTGACTAGACATCGCAATTTTAACGTATTTCTCCCATCCTGACATTCCTTACAAACTTATTTACAAATAATATCCCCCCACCCTCCACACACACACAAACTTCACGCTTCCAGCGTAAAGTTTTGTCTGTAACAAAGTCCCTCATTTTCTTTAAAATGTCCAGAACAAGCCAATAACATTACTAGAATACAAGTTTTGAAAGTATTTTGCGCAGTTTTTATTATAACTATCGTTGTACATTGCGGACATGTATATAAAAACTATATATGCAACTATATGTGTAATGTTTCAGTATATAAATACAACTTTATTAGCTGTCAATTCAGGAATCGAAACGTATATAAACACTTTTCAATCAATACCAAAAATCTACAACGTAACAGTTAATTCGCGCAGTTCAATCCAGTAGCAGCAAAGGGGTGGCAGTACACAATAACTGCTGCGAGAAAAAAGGTAAACTGTTAAAAGTACTTTTACTGCAAGACCCAAGCTACTAAATACTCACTCACCTACTCTCCTGGCGCTGACTGCCACTACTAGGCCTAGCAACAATAGTAGTATAGTCTTCATTACAAGAAATCCCTTATTCTCTAGTTTCAGCATCTGAAATAAAATTAATGACAGAATTGGAAAACAGTGAGTTGTTAAGTTTGCACGCAAAATATATATGAATTGTAAAGTTAAAATGAATTCAAATAGAACATTTACGTTCGATAATTGTTAGAGTAACCGAAGAAAAAAACGTCACTTCTTTAAACTTACATTAAAATAGTTCATGTATGATTTATACCTTATACAGTTTATCTATATATATACATTTATATGAAATATCTTAAAAAAAATAGGCCTGTTGTCTCGAAAATAACCTACAATGTCAATACACGTTTTCGTAAGTTTACAAAACGTGAACAACAGGGTTGAAAACACAGAAAAACCATGATGCCATCGGTTGATCTCAGACATGCTCTCACATTATATTTACCTTTAGAAAACATTGATAATCATAAGATGAACTTGCACCTAACCTATAGTTCGGCAGCATTAGACTTTGTTGTTGTCCAGAAATGTCACTGACATTTTCTGCGACATTGACGTTCACCCCTAGTATTGTGAATCGAAAGCACTGTGAAAGATAACCGATTTTTACACAAGTTGGTCCAATCAATAGAGACCTTGCTGTCACACGAAGCCGCAACCACACACACGCAAACAATGCGTAAAACACTATCTCTCGCATGTCGGATCGACATGTAAAATTAACGCTTCCAGTTTCTCAATTCGTTGGGTAAAACAATACCTTTCCAGTCTCCCATAATCACTTTAGCGGGTAAAACAATACCTCCAGTATCGGTTCGGCGGGTAAAACAATACCTCCAGTATCGGTTCGGCGGGT